AAGATGTGATATCATTTTGTAATATAATATTTAATATAAGTTTTTTTTTACAAGAAAGTATAAGAAAATAAATGCAAAACTCTGATATGAACATTTCTATTAAAAACTGTTACTGCAAGAACAACAGCAGGTTTAACTTTATGTAGAATTTTTCACAAAAAGGTTTATCTTCGTGTGGCCACTTGAAGATAAACATTCTTATGAAGTGTAACTTTCGTAATTGACAGTGTGAAAATTTATATTTGTAAATTCTCGATTTAGTTTTATATATCTCTGGTCATTTTTTTATGTAAGTCTTGCCCCTTGTTTGATAAATTTACTCATGCTAGAGTAAGTTCATATAAAATTAATAAGAACGCCAGGTTAAGAATTTTGTTTTTGTTACTTTAAAAACATGTTTTCGCTTTTTTTTAATGTTGACATCACGTGATATAATATTCAGAACTTTATTGGTTTTCGCTTATGGCGATTGAAATGAATCCGACTTTTTTTGTAGCGAAAATTAATCCAGTATAATCGTCAAAAATGTTTAATCTGCGCATGCTTAACGACGAAAATAATCGCTTCGCGCGAGTTTTTCGTCTTGTGGAAAACGGCCTTTAGTAAATGCATGTAGTTTTAACAAATTTAACTTTACACAACGTTACATAAATTTAAAATAAAAATGTGCTTTAACCTTCTTTATCAAAACTTTGTATGAAAAATGTAACATTTAATATTTTTTCGCATATATTATTTAAAAAAACTTTAGTTTTTAACTAAATTTTAGAAAAAACAAAACTTTATCATGTTTTTGTTAACTTACGTTACATGAAAATTGCGGTTCTAGGAAAAAATCCCCCCCCAGAAAATCCCCTCCTCTAAATAAAATTTTTGTTTTTTACTTAAAAATTATCAATATGTAGTTATGTTTATTTCTTTATTTATTTTAAATATTTATATAAAATACTTCATTTTTCATCAAAATATCAAGTTATGCGCTATTCATCGAAAGTAGCGAATGTGAAACCCTAACCCTGACAAAATGCGAACTGGTAAAATATGACCTTTTTTGCAAACCATCGTAGTTAATTTAGCAGTGTATTAAGACTTTTAAGCGAAAAAATTATTTTAAAAAAATAATAAAAGGAAATTAAGTGAAACTAGACGAATACAATACGAAAATATATATTTTTTTATTATTTGATAGACTGCCTGCCCAAACCAAACCTTTAGTCGATGATGCAGCGAGTCAGGCTATTTGTCAGTCGATGTAACAGCACTCCGTTGCGAGTCAGGCTATAAGATAGTCGATGTAGCAACACTCCGCCCATGTTTTACAGTTAAAAAATAAAAAAATTATTTTAAATAAAACTTTAAAATAGATAATTAAGAATTGGAGAGTTTTTTTTATTATTATTTTTATCATAAAAATAATGGTCTTTAAAATATAATGTTCGCATTTTACCGGTTTACGCAGTTGGCATTTTATCTACAAACGAGGAAAAGCGCATAACTTGACGTTTTGAGAAAAATGAAGTATTTTATAAAACTATTTAAAATAAATAAATATAACTATTTTTATTGATAATTTTTAACTAAAAATATATTTATATATATATATATTTTTTTTTGGGGGGGTGGGGGTGGGGGTTATTTCGGGGGCAGTTTTTCCTGCTACCAAAAATTGCAAAAGTTCTTTTGTTATTTTCTTGAAATATATATATTTTATAAAGTATAAAATCTGACCAACAACGATTTGAACGTGTTAGCTCCATTTTCACGCTTATTTAATTCCGATTATGCAAATAAATTCATGGTTAAAATAACATTTTACAGTTATACTTTTTTATTATGCGATAATGAGAAAAACCGTAACTTTCGGAAGAATAAAAATGACTTAAATAAATTAATTTTAGTACTAATTTAAATAATTTCGAATAAACTTTCATGTGTCTACATCAGTTATCATTTGCTAACAGTTAACGAAAATGAGAATAAAATTTAAATACTTTTTCATTTTCCGCCGTGGAATTGTCCATATATATATACATTTTTAAAATATTGTTTTACTATTTTAGTGCCACTAATTATCTAAAAAAATTAATTATTTGTGATGAAACATAACCCAGTGGACACGGACGTAAAAAACACGTCTTTTAAACGTCTTATTCACGTTTTGGAAGTCTTTTGGACGTTCAAAAGACATCTTTTTTTAGTCCGGTGCCCACTGGGAAATACAATAATTATTGCTATTATTATGTCCAATCTTTTTTTTATAATTACATAATTATTGTAAATACTAGTAAAAAAAGATAATAGTACTAGTCGTTATATTATCATACATCTATTTCACTATTAGATTTGCACAAACAGTACTCTCGAGTTCCTAATAAACGTCCCTAACCCCCCCCCCCACGTTTATTAGTTTTTAGATATTTTTCCCACCCACCCTAAGCCTATTAAGACCCCCCCCCCCCTCGTTTAATAATTTTTACTTGTTATCAACAAAAAAATTATATCTCAAAAGTAAATAAAAAAAATTAAGTGAAAATCGGCCTTAAAAATTTGAAAATAATTTTCAGTCACCGATAAAAACAAAAACTTTCTGTGTAAACAGGTTTTACAAATTGTCGACCTATTAAATCTCGATTTACTAGAAATGATTTCTCAACAAAGCTTTGGTTTTAATTATAGGATTTAATATGCTGTATATAAGTTTTATACTTTGCAAATTATAAAAGTTATATCAGCACATTTAATCCTATTGAAATTTTGATAAAACAGCCAAACCCTACCCTAACAGCTGTTATAAAATGCGCTTTTGACCGCAAGTCAAACTTGCATACCGAATAAACGGGATGGCATTGAACATGCCCCCCCCCATTCCTCCTCGTTTATTAATTTTCAGAAAAAATCCCCCCTCCCCCCGTATATTAACCCCCTTCCTTCCGTTTGTTAGATTTTGACTAAAATTCCACCCACCTGCTTATTCCCACCCCCCGTTGTATTTGGCACTCGAGAGTAACTGTTTAACAAAAAATTTAACTTCTTGATTCGTTTATTTTGAGCTGTTATTAGGGCCGTTTCGAGGGAGGAGCGTAAGGGATTCTCTAACTTTCCTAAGAAAATTTATTTGAAAATTTATTTTAGCACTGGAGTCTGCCTTAGTCAGCAATTTATTTTTTATCCATAGTAAGCAAACCCTTTTTTTATTCACCTTGATTGTTAAACGGTTTAAGTTTAGAATGCGCTCTCCACACTTCAGCAAACTGAATGTAAACTTCAGCAAACTCATTCGCAAGAGTTTGACAAAAACAAGAAACTTTTACTACTTTAAAATCTTTCATACACTGAACTATAAGTTTCAGTTGAGAAAACTGAGATGTTAAGGTCTGGGTGGCCACTGGTCACGGAGTTTTCATTGAAAGTCATGGAAATTTCATGGAACTTTTTAAAATGATCTTTATTTTTTTCTGCTTGTGATATTTTTAGGATGCAAAGAAAAGTACTTGTAGGTCTCGTCTGAGTCCTTTTTGCAAAAGATATTTTTGCAGTGTAAGATTATCAGAGAAGTAAAAGAAAAATGTTTTTTTTAGACATGTTTTTAGAACTTTCTACCAAATGCTTATTGCATGGTAAGTACTGAATAATTTACTGGTTAGTGGTTTATCATAAAAGTATATGAAGAGTTATGGAAAAATCATGGAAAAGTTATGGAATTTCATTTTCAAATTTGAGTGGCCACCCTGAAAGGTGTATTATAAGACTTTTTCTTATCTACCCAAGACAGTATGCTGAACAGTATGGAGACTATTCTAAATTTAAACCTACATGGGCTAGATTTAAACGTGTAGAAGAGTATACAAAGCTTTGAGAGCAACTCTGCAGTTAGTTTTAAAGGAATAAGAGTTAAATATTAATATTTACGATGCTCTAGAGCAAAAAAAATTATTCGATTTTTTTTGGATTATGTACCATGTATACATTAATATTGTAAATAATTTTAAATATTTTTGTTGTTTTAAATTTTAATTAAATTGGTTATAATTTAATTTATTTTGTGTGTATGAGTATAACGGGATACTTTAATGGACTTAGGGCTCCTTAGTTTTATCGTTTGCCCCATTTGTTGCTCTAATTTGTAGCTTTTTTTTTATAAATCATTACTCTTGAATAAAAATTTTTTGTGAAGATTAAATGTTTTTTCATGCAGATTAAACCTTAAATGCTTAAATTGGATACGATCCCCCTCAATTTTACCATTTTGCCATATTGTATATTTGTCTATTGTTATAAGACAAATATTTTTGAATAAAAAAAAGGTTTCATTTAAGTGACGACAAATAATTTTCTCTTTGGTGTACAGTATGATCAAACCAATCACCGGTATCGAAGTGCAAAAGTAAAAAAATGTTATTATTCTTTACATGAGGAAACAAGTTCATTAGTTTTTTTTTAAATAAAAATTCGTAGTTAGAAGGCGTAGTATACTATTTTTCATAAAGGCCAAGTTTAGATCTTTTTGTGAATGGGTTATAAGATTGATATCTTTTAATTTTGATCGTCTGTTTAATACCTTAGTATAACCGATTTAAGGATAATATTAGAATAATAGGTTAGTATAATTAATAAATTTTTACATTTTTTAGAAAGCTCAGTGTCGCTTTTTTATCTAACTTAGTTAAAATTTTATGCAGTTTGCAAACCTGAGCTAGGAGGCGTTTTTACTACCAATATAAAATTTTTTTGTATATTTGGTGTTATGTGATGTTGCTTTATAAACATTATTTTAAGCTAGGCAATGGTTTTTTAAAGGATGTTTAGTTTTATTAATACATTTACATTTCATAGCAGCAGTATTTTTACTGCGTAAAATCTTTTGGTTGGTAGCAACGCGTGAATTAATTAACATAAAAGATTACATTAGATATTTATGAAAAAAACTTTAATCCAAATTTACTACAATTTAAACTCTTTGCAATGAATTATAAAGTTGTGTTCGTTCTTCTCTCATTTAGGTTTTATGTCGAGATATACTTTATCCAAAATGGCCATTTGTTGGACTTTTAAGTAGCAAAATTCCGATCAAAATAAGGACTCAACTTAAACAGATACTTACGCACTGTCGCTCAGAAAGCTTTGGGAAATTCAGTAATACCCATTTACAAGTAAATAAGACTTTAAAGGAATTAGCCTTTTTATTAAGTATCTCTTTTTCTTAAATAAAAAGTTATCATTAAAGTTATTATAAATTAATGTATTATAAATTTGTATAGAGAATATATATATATATATATATATATATATATATATATATATATATATATATATATATATATATATATAATGTTGGGTAGTTTTTTTATATATTTTTATATATGTATTTTTCTTGGCTTATATCAAATTAACATAACAGGTAAAATAAATTGATGCTTTAAATTTTTTGTCAATAAAGCCACTTAAACGTTATGTAATCACCCAGCCGGCAAATTAAGTTTCATTTACGTTTTGAAAACCAGTGAACGACACCTGGTTGACTCGGTGGTTTTGTAAATTTTTCTCACGAGTTAGAAACCTTATTTTAATTGGTGTTTGGAACGTGTTTAAAAAAGTTTTTTACCGAGTGTTAAACTAAGTTTTGATTACTTGACGGACAAGGTGGTTTTGTAAACTTTTCTCACGAGTTAAAAACCTAGTAGACATTTCTCTAATTCGAATGCACAACTATTAAAAACGAGGCCAGCAAAGACAAAAATGTAAACAAATAGCGACAAATCGCTTAAATAATACTACGAAATTACTAATTTTTTATTTTATCTATCTAAAATAATGTGAATGAAAATAATAATGATAAAAGTAGCTGCTTTAAAAATGATAAAATTCAAAATTTAATATTGCAAGATATAAATAGAGGTTTGAAAAAGAGTTTAAATCGAAGAAAGATGTACCTTTAAAAGAAGATAAGTGCTGGGGAAAATCTCTGCAGTTTCTACCAACGTTTACCAAAAGCGAAATTGATAGCCAGGTGAGCAAATGCGGTAAAATAAAAGGAAAGGCCATAAAAAACCATTAGAAATTAAAAACCATTTGAACCATAAAAAAACTTTAGAAAAAGGACTAAAATTAAAACAAGAAAATATTTCTGTAGTCAGTTTATTCACAACACAAACACTTATATTTCATTGTAAAATGTACATGTCAAGTATGAAAAAAATCTATCAAGTATGAAAAGTATGAAAGTAAATCAAGTATGAAAAGTAAATCAAGTACGAAAAAAATGATTAGAAAAATGCTAATTTATATTAATCGCAAGTTAATAAGGTTTCTTGCAGTTGTTGAAGCTACAAAACAATTTAAAAAAAATTGATTCAAATATTGGTTATGCGCATATTGATCCAGATAAAATTGTTATTGATACAGAAGACAAAAATTTGGTATGCAGTGTTTAGAATCCCCACTTTCATATCAACTTTTACCAGTTGAACTAAACTTTGTTGTTTTATCTCACTTTTGTGAAAATGTTGAAAACAAAAGCTATTACAATTTCTGCTCTTACTTTACCTAGTAAATTTTTATATATACCTGATACGTGGCATTATTCTTTAAAAGAAATTGAGTTTATGCAAAAAATAATTATTTCACAAGACGAAAGTATACTATTACAAAAAAAAAACTGTAAGACAAAGCCACAATCGATATTTTCTCTCGTCAAACCATCTCCACAATGGTTTGACGAGAGAAAATATCGAATAACATCTTCAAATGCACATAAGATTTATATTAGGAAAAATAACTTTGAATTTTTGGTAAAACAATTAACAGAAGGCAATAAAAAATTCGCAAATGGTAAAGACATGTTAAATCATGGTAAAATTAATAAAGATGTTGCAAAAGAAAAATTTAAAAATGTAATAATTTATAAATTAAACATAAATATTAAAATAGTTGAAACTGGATTATTAGTTCAACCATGCATCCGTTGGCTAGGCGCAAGTCCAGATGGACTTGTGTTAATTGACTCGAAAGCCTATTTAATGGAAATTAAGTGTCTTTATACAAAAAGAAATGTAACTTTTAATGATTTGGTTAAGGATAAAGCGTTTTATATTGGTTCATTACCTACGGGGAACTATTTCTTAAGAAAAATCACTCATTTGGCTATTATACTCGAGTCCATTTAGCAATGGATTTATCAGGACTGACAATGTTTGTTCAAAGTTTACATTTATAAAGGAATAACTATTGTAAACGTTGATTTTTATAAATGTTATTTTTTAGATGTTATAGATAAGTTAAGGTATTTTTATAAAAAATATCTTTTGTCATGCTATGTATCTTAATAATATTCTTATAAAACAATAATATTATACTTCATATAATTTTATTGTTTTATAAGAGAATCCATAAAGTTACACAAATTACATAAGCAGCTTACAGTTCAAATTTGATTAATAGATACATTTGAAACTAGGGGTATTTCATTTTGTATTTGCTTATTTTTCTTAATTCATTGTGTAGCACGTTCTACATAAATTCGTAAAGCTGCTATTGTTTGACTTTCTATAACCTCTTTATTTAATAATTGATCTCTTCCATTTAAAAAAGCTGGAATATTAAGTGTTACATCAAAATGCTTAAGCAGATCCCTTGTTAAAAAACCTCTATCAACCATTACAGAATCTCTACTCTCCCATACCTCTCTTTGCAAAAGTCCTGATTGCTTAACTAGTTCAATATCAGAAATAGAGCCAACAAATAGTTCACTAACAAATGTTATTGCACCAGAAGGAGTAATTCCAACTAATCCTTCAAAGGTAACATGGTGCTTATAGTGGGAAAACATACTACTCTGAACTGTAAGGCTAGATGGTCTTTGACAAACCAACTCAGTTCAGTCAATAATAACTTTCGTTTTAGGATAAGCTTTTTTGAAGCATTTTGGCATGTTAAGTTTTAGTTGATCTAAATTAGGCCAAATAGGTATAGTACCAAGTTTAAGTTAAATAAAATTTGACCATGTTATAAGATATCTTGACACAGTAGATTTTGGTGTCTTGAATAACCAGGAAGTAAAACTTAAACAAAAACCAAGTCTAAGCCATGTTAAAAACATAAGTTGGTCAATCAATTTGATTTTTGACCTAGGACCAGGTTTGGATTCTAGTGTAGAGTATGAAGGAGATAAAAAAAAATCCTTCAGGTAACTTATCCTCAAAATGATGCTTCAGAATAATAATACTTTATATTTTCACATTCATTTCCAGCAGTGGCAGCGCCAGCATTTTTTGATCTTTGAGATAGCTAACTTCCAGACATGGAGCAAACTCCAAACATTTATATGTTTATGTTTATAACAAATAAAGGTGCTTTGCAAAAAATTACGATGATTGGAGCTTGGGAACGAAAAAACCCTAAAAATTTGACCAACACTGCCCCAAACGTGAGAGCAACAAGTTGATGAAATATTTTTTGTGCTATTTTTAACTAGACTTATATTCATCAATAAATTTTAAGTTTCATAGTATTATCTCTCAGCGTTCAAAAATTATAACCATATAAAGTTTAAACCCCCTCAATTTGAGGGGTTTTGCAAAAATTGTACCAATGAAAGAGTAAAAATATTTATCATTTTTTTCAAAACTTTCGTAGATTAAAATATTATTTTTAATTCGGTCATTGGTTATTTTTAAATCGTTATGTTTTTCAAGTAAGCTACAGTAGCTTTCATGAACTACTTCTAATCTTTTTTCTATGATTGTTTTTTCGGGTGATAACAGTTTACAGTTTTCACAATTTTCGTTATTTGTAAAATCCAGTAATATTTGAATTACTTTATCGACCTTAGTTGTGCACTCTGGATATTTTAATTTTTTACATGGAGATTTTATAGGTCATTTTTCTTGTACTGTCTTAAATGAATATATGCTTGGAACTTCATTTCCTGTTTTTAACGATTTTTTAACGCAGCCAGAACTAATTTTTATCTCCTTAGACCTAAAGTGAAACTTACACACTTTAGTGTGTTTCCTTATTTCAAAATTATCAGCACCTCCTTTACGTCTATATTTAAATATTTCGTTACACCAAGCTCTGTGAATATCGGGCTTTTTCTCTTGGTTTGGGAAAGAAAATAGATAAATATTAGTCTTTTCCATATTGTTATTATAAAATGAACTTCCACACAGTAGTATACAGCAATAGATTCCTCTTTCGCCTTTTTTCACCTCTTTTGGTCTGATAATGCTCGAGTTGGAATAAGACATTTTTCATTTCTGAGAACTTTGTTTACATTTTTATCCTTGCTGTTCTCTTTTTCAAGTGTTTAGTGTTTGCAACGTGTTTTTAAAAGTTTTTTTCACGTGTAAAAAAAAGTTTTAATTATGCTCATATTATGCGTTTAAGCTAATTTTTTTAACGTGTCAGATATAAATTTTTCTTTGTTTGATAAGGTTTTAGACCTTTTCTTATTTTTTCTTATTTATATATGTAATGCATAAATTATATGATTCATACATTATATCTATACATATATATTAATTATCAACATATGTTAATAATTGTTATTATTATTCAGACCAAAAACACAATGCTTTGGCTAAGTTACGCTGTAAAACACTGTCCTTATTATCAATCAATTTTTTTAGGCGTTTAATCTGTTTCTCAGGCATTTTTTTGCAGTCCGACCGCTTCCAATTTTTCTTTTGGTCCTATATTGATCTCCTTTCGTTGCAGTATATTGTACATGGTTGATTTTGGGACATTTTCTATGCGAAAACGATTAACAACAAACATTATGTTCTTTTCTGGATGTAAATCCAGAAAAATGTACACTCGTTTACGGAGTGCCTCATGATTTTTCAATCTTTTAGACATAATAATTACGTTCTGGAAAGAAAAAAAAAAGACTATAGCATATTGTAGAGGAATAAATTTGCAACATAATAAATAGAATTCTAAAATTTATAAAAACTTGTTGGACATATAAATTGAAGTTCCAAAGTTTGTCCGGATTTTTAGTTGTAGCATGTTACTTTGAAATTTTGCGTATTTCTAATATTTGAAACTTTAAGCAGCCTAACTGGAATATTTTTAATAGTGTAATTATCAAATACGTCTAAACCGACCAAAAATTGACTAGTTGAAATGCGAAATTGGTCAATTTTGAGAAATCGAACCGTCAATTTAATCGACCATGGACTAAATCGACTAAAAGTGAGTAATTTTTTTTTTTTTTTTTTTTTTGCCAAATAATTTATTTAATAATACAAATTTTAACATATTACAAATTTAGCGGCAGGACTTCTAGAAGATCATGTGGATCTTATCATGAAGCCCTTTACAATGCTTTTTAGTATCGAGTATAATATAATATAAATACGTAATATTATAATGAAGTTATAAAAATTCGTAAAATAACAAAGAATATGAAGTTTAACAAAACACAGTAATAAAAAGTAACAAAATACAAACCATTAAATACATAAGTTTGCAAAAAACTCATGGAAATATTCGTAAATAGTAAAACATAATACAATAAAGTATAATATATCAGCAATAAATTGATAAAAACTCAAAAATAGATAAAGATGTTTTCAATTGAAAAGATAATTTCTTTAATTTTGGTTTTGAATGAGAAGTAGTTTAGATTGATTGAAAAGTCAAAATTAGGTAAAACTATTTTGTTCCAAAGAAGAGGTCCACGATAGGACATACAAAATTCGTCGTATTTAGTTTTGCAAAAAGGAGCATTAAGATTGTTGTCAATTCGTAAATTATATTTGTTTTTCGGTTTTAAAGAATAAAGATATTGAAATACCTGTGGAGATAAATTTTCTTTACACTTGAACATAAAGCATAAAATATTAAAAATATTAGGTTGATAAACATTCAAAGCTTTCATATCTTTAAGAAGTGGCGCAGAGTGAGTAAGACGATTTTTAAAATTAATTGCGCGAGCTGCGTGTTTCTGATGATTAAAAAGAGTTTTAAGTTTTGTCTTTTGAGTGCTTCCCCATATAATATTTGCATAGTTTATATGACAGTGAACAAATGAATAGTACAGTTGAGTCAGCTGCCGTTAATTTAGTATGTTTCTAGCTTTATAAAGAATACCGATGCATTTGGAAACTCTAGAAGAGATAATGTTAATGTGATGTTTCCAAGTTAAATTTTCATCAATATAGATTCCTAGAAACTTTGTTACTTTTTCTCTTTTTATCATTACATTGTCAATATATAGTTCAGGTAACAAATGTGGTATTCTATGTTTTTTATAGAGTGGATAAAAAAGTGTCCATTTAGTTTTAGCTGTGTTGAGAGATAACCTATTTATTTTGAACCAATCAGAAACTTTTTTTAATTCATTTGTCATGTTGTTGAAAAGAATAATAATATTTTCATGAGATAGAAATAAATTTGTGTCGTCTGCAAAGATTATTTTTGTTAGGCTTGAAGTTTTATGAAGATCATTTAGATATATTATAAAGAGAAGAGGTCCAAGTATGGAGCCTTGTGGAACACCACACGTTACATTCATTAACACTTGAGACGAGGATTCTTTATTATAAACATACTGCTTACGATTTGTAAGATAGCTTTTTAACCAATTGAGGGTGTTATCTTTTATTCCATATGATAATAATTTTTTTATTAGAATTTGATGGTTGACGGTATCAAAAGCTTTAGATAAGTCAATAAATACTCCTAATGTGAAATGAGATTTTTTAAAAGATTCTGAGATGTCGCGCGTAAGTTGGAGAATAGCGTGTTCTGTTGAATTGTTTTTTTTAAAACCAAATAGGTTTTCGTATAAGATTTTATTATTAATTAGATGGTCGTAAATTCGATTGAACATTAATTTTTCTAGTATTTTTGAAAAGACTGAAAGAACTGAAATAGGGCGATAATTATTTATGTTTGTATGATCTCCTGTCTTGAAGACAGGAAATACTTTAGCTATTTTTAGACAGTCTGGAAACATTCCTTGACTGATGGATGCTCTAAAGATTTTAAAAAATAATGTAATAAACTTAAAATCCTTGGATCTTTTTATTCAATTTTTCATTTAATTTTTAATAATTAAATTTTCGGAGTGTCTATTCGTACGTTTTTCACGTGCGAATAGACTACATGTAATTATGTCTATTCGCACGTTTAATTAAATACATGTAATCGTGTCTAACTAACTTAACTACATGTAATTATGTCAATTCGCTCGTTTAATTAAATAAGTTAAAGATCATCGAATTTAAAGGCAATTAAAAAAAAATTATATTTATTATCGGTTTTTAAATTTAAAGTTAAACTAGCGCAGTGGAATACTAACGCAGTACTTACGTTGACTGACTTTTGAAAGATATGCGCACCGTAGTGTATATAAATATTGACTGATTATTTAGGGATAGACACAGTGTAGTATACATTTGGTAACGAGGGTTTTGGCTTGGGCAGGCAATCTTTTAACTAAAAAATAGTATTTCTTAATGTTTATTTTATCTAATGGCGCGTTTTTGTTTGTTTTTTAAATAAAAATTTAATTATGTTTAAGTAATATTATTTATTTTATTAGAGTTTATTAAAAAATTAAATTGCTTTTAAAATATAAGACTTAAGTTATAAACATTTTTTGGTTGTGAGAGATTTCATATTAAAAATCTTGAAAAACTTGAAATTTTTAAAATTCGCATGTTAGAAATATTTAAACCTAATAAAACATTCGGTTATTGTATCATAGTTTTTTTTTTTTTTCAATGTTTCAGCTTGTGATTCAAATAAATCGACTATAAGTCGACTTGTTGATTTCAAAAATGTATTAGTTTTAGTTGGCTTTAGAAAATTTATTAGTCGACGGTCGAATTATTTAGAAGTCGTAACAACACTAATTATTAAACATCAGAGATGGAACCTCATCAATCAAAGCATTGATATTGAGTTATATTTAAAAACGTGATAAATGAAGTGATATAAAATTTTACTTTTTTACAAAACTTGTCAAATTTATCTGTATAATATTTTGAATGGTATTGATATTAATTTGACAAAATTTGAAAAGATTAAGTTTGAATAAAGTTTTTCGAAATTGACTCAAGTTTCAGTTCGACGAATTTTTCTAAATTCGAAAAATCAAAGTTTGAATGAATTCGATCGAGCTTTATTACTTTTACTTGGTAACTCTTGGAAACGATAACTTATAGGAGCTTTCTGAGACGTCAAATATTTTAAGCTTTCAGAACTTAATTAGCTAAAACAGTCAAGTGGTAAATAGGTAAATATCTGAGTAATTATGTAAAATATTGTTATCAAGCAAGTATTTTCTTGACGAGTGCGGTTGTTTTAAAGTTGGTTGGTTTTAAGTTTTTAACTTTTAGGGCTTGTTGTTCATTACGCCAACAACTAACCAAAATTTTTAAAAAGAGCTAAAATATGTTTAAAAATGTTTTATTTTATAATTTATTTCTATTTTTGTATTTTTATCCCTAAATTTGAAATAAACCCCCCTAAATTTGGGGCGCTATAGCCCTGGGCCCCGCAAATTTAGGGACCCCCAAAAATTTTAAAGGACTTTTTTTTTTAAGTCATTTTTAGGCTCTGGCCCATAAAAAGCCCTCCAAAAACAAAAATAGCCCCGGGCCCCAAGAAGTCTTAATCCGCCACTGCTCGCCATGCAGCATTTTTTCCAATGAATTTTTTTATGGTTCTTTAGGTACGCAATTAGACAAAGCAGTATTTGATTATACGTAATAGCATTTAATGATTATTTAATAAAAATTATATTTGAGGGAGTAGTACTGCCTCCCCCTCCCAATATAATTTCTGTTCCTAAGGGCCTGGGCTAGAATCTTGTTACATAAAACCATTACTTATCATTTTAGAAACTAAAAAAATATTTATAAATTAAAATATATCTAAGCATAAATAAGTAAATAATTGTTTCTATACAATTTTTTGTGTATCTACACTGATAATAATGTAAATTTTAATCAATGTTCTAAGAAATATTTTCGTAGAAATCCACTTAAGAAATTACTAAGATAGCTGTCGAATCTCGAAATTCATGGCAACTTCAACTTGCCAAATTTCAGTTATAAGTTTGACATGTTTCTTAAAGTGTTAGTCATAGATTCTAAAGACTGGCGCATACTTTGTCTGCGCTCAACAATGCGCATGCGTCGATCATTATAAATTATCATATCTTTTTCTAGTTGTTCTCTTTCCAGAAGAGCGTTGCGACCTTCTTGATTTAGAAACTCGTAGGTTTTTATAAGATGGTTTCTTCTCATAACAAGATCTAGAAAAACAAAATGCATTTTTATATACTTATAGGTTTTAAATTTTTCATAGAATATTGAGGTTGAAGATTTTCAACAATAGATTTGTATTGAGTTCGCTTTATTATTATTATTATTTTTTTAACGCCAAAAAGACTCTTCCGATCAGTATTTTTTATAGTTTTTAATTTTTACAAGTTTATTATATAATAAATATATGAATTAAATCGAATTTACTAAATTGTATCAAATTACTAAACTATGATATAATTATTACTTGTGCTTGTGGACTTTGTATTGTTTTTTACACTTTGTATATTTTTATTATTATGTTTATTACACTAGCATTTATATGTATATACTACTAGTAAATAATACTAGCGCTGTACTCACCTGTGTGATATGCTTTATACGATAAACCAATTGCCTCAATACCAGGCCAGGGTAAAAATCTTTCAGGACTAGCTTCATTCTAAATAGCAAAAAATAAAAAACTTATGGATACTGATAATACAATGTTAATGATATTACTAAGTAATAATATCATAGGTAATAATGATATTACTAAATAATAATAATATCGTTCACATTGTCTTTATATCTTTAAATTTTTTGACTTGTTATATTTTATTTATTAAAATAAATTACCGGATATCTAGCCGATTCATTGTCGTTATTATTATAAATTACCGGATATCTAGCCAATTCATTGTCGGTATTACTATAAAACTTTGTATAATCAAGCGTGTCATAACTGTTTCGTGCATATAAGTTTTCTCTCGCTGTTCTGTTACTTTGCATTCCTGAATAAATTAATCTATTTCTCAGTTCAAAATCGTCTTTTTTCATGAATTCCGATTCAGTTTTACTCAAAGGTTCGCGGCAATATGATTCTTGATCGATTTCATGAAATTTTTCGCGTTTAAAAACTTCATGTTCAGTACGTCTAAATCCGTTTTCTTCAGGATGAGTATGTTCTAAATATGCATTTCGGTCTTTGTCTCCTTTTGGAGAGCTATAGTTTTCTTTTTCAGGGGAAGAAACAATCTTAGGCTGATATAGTTTATACATTTTATTGAAGCCATCTGGAAATAAACGACTTTTGGGCGCAGTTTCTTTACTCACTGACTTAGAGTCGTCGAACGGCTTTTCGATAGAATTTATAGAATTTTTTTTTATTGACTTGCATTCTTCAACTTGCTCTTCTGCAGAATCAGCTAAGCTTCTTCTTTTTATTTCTTCCAAAAGGCTTTCTTGCTCTTGCAACATTTGTTGCTTATGGCGCGTCATGGGTCCAGTGTAAAAATCAATTTCAGAGTTAGCACGTGTATCACCATTACTGCTTCCATCTTCTACAATCTATTAAAAATATAAAAACCGTCATAAAAAAAAGCTAATAATAAGCATTTCATATTATTAACAGATTTGTAATACCTCTTTTTTTACTTTTTTCTTTGGTCTACCATTATGAGTTTTTAGAGACATTTTATTCCATCGATTGATATTTATTTCATTTTCAAGAACTTTGAAATAAGTTGGAAATAACAAATAATCAAATAGTTAAAGCTGAAAATTATTATAATGCAAATTGTTTAACTGCTATTAATTTTATTTTTTAATTTAATATTATATTTGATAAACATAATATTTTGTAGTTACATAGTATAGAGAACTTATACTTTATGAACTTACCTCTCTTTCTAGAATGTGTGACCAGACCCAAAGCAATAAAAAATGCCAACTTCTAAAATATAAAAAGGAACAAATATCTATAAAAATGATTCTATAAAATATTTGCTAAAAACAACAGGAATGATTCTAATCTTGATGTAAATTTAGCCTGCAATTAAATCGAAAACATGTATATTTAAAGGTATTTAATTCAAAATTTTAGAATTCTAAATACGGATTGTAAATAGTCTGAATTTTGTCTATAAAAAATATCTCACTTATAACAGTATCGATGCAACTACGTTAAATATCGCGCATTTTCTTCAATTAGAAAACTCTAACATAGTCACGTACATCTAAAACACATTCTAAAGTGACAACTTGAATATTTTTGTACTCACAGTAAAATATTTTATATAGAGTCACGCTATATACACTAAGATATTTTATATAGAGTTCTATAATATAAGATTTAACAACAGTTTGATTACGTCATATAAGATTATATTACTGATAATCATTACAAATCAAAATATAAAAATTTGACAAAAAACATTTTTTTTGTCGTAAACTTGCAGCTATTCTTTTCACTTGATTTGATCAATCCAAAGAATTCATTTTTGATAATACCAAAAACAAAAACAAAAAACTACTAAAAAAACTTAAAACATGCATTGTAATAGTTTCTGGTCTGCCATCTGCTTTAAAACAATAATACAAATCTGTTTCAAACGTTTAAATAACACGTTTACCGAATCTGAGTTATATTCAGTAAATATACTGAATTTTATAAAGTATATATACAAAAAGAATAAACTTTGAAAAATTTTTAACACTATACTTATGTCATACATATATTTTATACTAATTTAAGTCACTATAAGTGTAGGTCAGTTTTTATACATAGGTCACCATATTGTCCATGAGGTCAGTTTTTATACATAGGCCACCATATTTTCCATGAGGTCAGGAATACTGAAATCCTAATTAATTTTTTTAACAATAAAATATTATATATGAAAAAACTTTTTAATATTAATGCTGTTGTATTTTAGGTAAAATGCAATAAAATCATAAGTCCATCGAATGATAACTGCATTAGAATAAGATAGGAAATAACATAAAGTTTTGAAATGACAACTTACAAATTGAATTAAACGACGAGTGTTTTAACTGGGTAGCGTACAAATATAATTGTAATAAAAATAAACGCAATTGTGTTGTAATAATATAATTGTGAAATAAGCGACACGTTTTAAAATAACCGTTTCAACGGCCAATAGTCTGAATAGAATAGTTAAATTTACAACTAAATGTAGTTGTTAATGAATTAAAAATTAGTTTTTTTTTTCGGATTCTTTTCACTTTGGTAATCATCATTTCACTTTGGTGATCATCGTTTCACTTTGGTGATCATCAAACGTAAATAGAAAATTGTCGAAATTATCAACCGTCGCTCACACAATAATAAAAATATTGTTTTTAATGAGTAAAACATTTAAACTTTATTATCTCAGCCATTTTAAACTTGATTTTATTCACAAACCTTAGGCAAATAAAATTAGATTTTATTGACGAGCGTTATTTAGTATTGATCTCGTAAAGAATAAATAGTTAAATACTTAAGTGTTAAAACAAAATAATTCTAGACTTAATACTTACAAAACTGGAAATCCCACTCCATCAAAGTTTACAAAATGTTTCATGACGATTAAAATTACAGTAAAATTCTGAAACATCAGCTTGCAATAAGTTTTTAATTATTTAGTAAGAGTTAAAAAACATAATAAAGAGGATGCAATAACAAAAAAGGTGATAGAGGAAAAAAATGTTTGCAAAAGCTCTTTTTAAATTTCCTTAAGTCGCTCTTGATCTCGCCCCAATTGACGGTACATTTAAAGTATACAAAACTTTCGCTGTTTATTGAACTTCACAAACTTAAAAACAATATTAATGAAAACCTTTAGCAGCACATAAAAACTTATAGAATCTATGATTATTTATGACACAAAAAATAACTAGATTACTTTCATAAAGGCGAAATGATGAAAAAAGTATAATTTTAAAAGAAATAAAAGAAAACAACTAGAAAGACGGAAACAAACAAAATCGAGGGAAAAAAATTTAAATAAAATTTTAAACAAAAAAACAACAATTAGAGAAATAAAGAAATTTAAAGTCAAAGAAAACCCTAAGGGCATTTGTTTTTAAAAGTTACGTTCTAAATGTATTTTAAATGTCTTTTAAACGTTTTCTAAACATTCTTAAGTTAAAAATATTTAAAGGCGTTTAGAAAGTAACCTTTAAAAACAAATGAAGTTATAAAAAGAAAAATTAAAAAAAAAGAAAGATTAAAAAAGCAATCTTTTACTTTTAATATGCAAGTCGATTTTTAGTGTTATTATTATAACTGTTTTTTTTTAAAATTGTTTTATAATCATTATTGCATTGTGAATTTTTCATTACATTTTATTATTACATCCATATTTATGTTTATTATTATTTCACTTTATTTACATAATTTTTCAAAAAGTTTCCTAATTGTCTTTTGTGTTTCTTGGTGTTTTTAGGTAGGGGAAAGTGGGGAGAAGTTGGACACGTAAACTTTTTTTAGCAATATTGTTTTTATTTGATGTATAAACTGAACCAAACAAGTTTTTACGAATAAACCTTTTTTTTAAACCGATTCAATCCCCTTCAGTTTCCAGCCAATTATAATTAAGTATATAAATTTTTGTTTTTAGAGAAACCGTGCTATTGGAATAAAGTGGGACAAGTGTGAGTAGAAATAGGACAAACAAATTTAAAACAACATTTTAACACAAATTATTAAATAGAAACTGATAAAATTACCTAATTGACATAAAAATGTTCAAGAGCTTTCACCAATCGAAATAATCAAATGGAGACGGGAAGAAACTGAACATAAATATTTCTTTTTTATGTCCCACTTCACCCCAATGTAAACACTTTTTTAAGGTAAATTTTAAAATTAGGGCTTCTAGCGCACGCAGGAAACAAAGCAATTTTTGCTAAACAGAGCGGAAGAAAATTAATTGTTTACATTGAATAACAGTATTTAAGCACCATTCCTAATTAGAAATTTCAGGCTATCCCACTTCTCCCCACTCTCCCCTACCACTCTTTTAAACAGTTTAAACTGTTTCCTAACCTACTATATATATATATATATATATATATATATATATATATATATATATATATATATATATATATATATATATATATATATATATATATATATATATATATATATATATATATATATATATATATATATATATATATATATATATATATATATATATATAAACGTATACCGTTTAAAATGTGTCAATGTCTCATTTTGTATAAAACCTGGAAAAAAGTATAAAACTTCTCTTTTGTAACTAAGTGAATACTAAATTATCTCTATACCTCTAAACCATGCTATAAATTAATAATTTGCAAAATTTATATACTCCCCATAAACATTTTAAGGCTTCTCTATTAAAAATTTAATCCAGCATCTATACATCGCTAATGCAGCGTGAAGGTCTCACCTTATTTTCTAGTTCAGGACAACTTTCTCCACTAATCTCTTCATTGGAATTAGAAATTTCAGTTTGATTGTCGATTCCGCACTCTAGTCCGCTGGAAGGTGACTCGTGCTTAATTAGATTCATATTAGCCAATATACTAGCAGCAGCTAACTCAGTTTTACAATCAGAGATAACCAACGAATGAACAGAGTCTTGCTGTCCGGATTCTAAATAAGTACAAAAAATTATGCATGCTTTGTTACTACAATCTTTAAGAAAAAATCGATTTCAAGAATTAAGAGCAAATCGATTTCACAATGAAATTAAAACAGATTCACGATAAAAAAGATATTTTTAAGAAAAAGAAACTATTCAATGATAAATCGTGTATACGCTATACACGTTTAAGTTAAATTCGCAATTTGTGTGGTATTTTTTAATTGTGTTGCAACACATTTATACCTTAACACATTCTATTTAAAGATATTCCATTTTGTATTTTGTTAAACATTCTATTTTGTAATAAAATACAGCTTTTTGTTGGCGGCGAAATTTTAAAGTTTAAAACAAGAACACTTTTAGGTGCTTAATACACGTTTATTGATTTTCAGAAGTTTTTCCCACCCATGCTTATTAAGAACCCCTTTCCTCCCACCTGTCTTCTAGTTTTTACTTGTTATCAACAAAAAACAACTAAAAAGACTTTTTTTTTAATTTTTAAATTTGTATTTTTAAATATATATCAGTCATTGATAGTAACAAAAACTTTCAGCATAAGGCTTTAAAAATTGTCGCCTTTTAAAAAATTTTGATTTGTGAAAATTCAGACTTTGGTTTATTTCTTAAAAATATATGTATAAAATATATATCTATATAACTTATGTAAGTATACTTACCTATTGGCACCGGACCTAAAAAAGACGTCTTTTGAACGTTCAAAAGACGTCCACAACTTTTGAAAGACGTCTTTTTTACATCCGTGCCCACTGGGAAATTCTATTGAATTATGTTAAAACAACTGTAAAAAAATGCGTTTTTGATCGCAAGTCACATTAGAATTAAATTGTTTATCGTGTTCTGTAAAAAACTCCCTCCCACCCATTTATTAACCCCACTTCCAGTTTATAAGATCTGGACTAAAATTACCACCCACCTACCTTTTATTCCCACCCTAACCCCCCTTTGTAGTAAGCACCCAAGAGAAAATAAGTTAATTCAGTTCCAAAAACGAAACAACTTACCCTGACATTTTCCAGGAGATCTCGATGTGGCATTTATTCCCTTGAATAGAGGCATGTTCTAAAAATAAATTTTACAAATTTTTGTAATGAGCAAATTTTGTAATGAACAAATTTTGAATAATTTCGAAACACATATAAAATTAATAATATCTGTATATACCTGTCCATTTGGAATTTCCTTTTGTTCTTTTCTGACCCCTAAACTCTTTTCTTCTATAGTTTTCTCAGCTAAACAAAGAAATATATATTTTTTTTAAATAACACCTTTTTTTACTAAATTTATTGTCATGAATTTACATCGTGTTTCCTAACCTTGCTCGCTTTTTCTTTTAAAGTGCTCTTTTAAAAAATCCTGATTGATACGTTCGTCGAATTTGGTATCTTGTTTTCTTCGAAAAAAATCCCCTATCTGAGGACTCAAAGAAGCATGTTGGTGGCGAGAATCGCTTTGAGGAAAAGGATAGTGCATATATGAATCGATATGCGGCGGATGATTGCGACCATAATAAAAATGGGGTGGATACAATGGAGGTTGCATTAATTCCTAAAAAAAATGTTAAAATACGAATAGATATAAAGATTTAGGTGTAAAATAAAATAATTTGTAATCAGTTAAATTATTTTTAAAATAAATAACGTTCTTGAGTAACCTTATTAAATGGTGAACTTGCCTTGTAAGAAGTATGTTCTAGACCATTCATTAGATGTTTTCGATAATGCTCATCTACAAGATGCGGAGGAAAAGCGTTCCAACGATAATCAAGACCGCGTCTGCGTACATCTTCTTTCATAGCTCGATGATCTTTAAGCTAATATGTAATAAAAGGTTATTAATAAAAAAAAAAAAAAAGATCGGTGAGCATAAAAAAACTAGTTATCGTAAAACATATGATACCTCTGTCTGTTGCGAAGTTTGTCTGCTATAGACGTCTTCTCTTATGTGAGAATGTTGCAAGTATACCGAGTTGAATTCTCTTGTTGTGTGAGCAACTTGATCTATTGGTAATCCGAGAAAGCGCCCTCTTATATCGTCATGTGTGTGCGAACTTTGCCTGATAAATCTTTCGTCAAGCTGGGTTCCAAGCTCTTGACTATGAACAGGGCATGAAGATTGAGATACATGAGGGAGACGAAGTGGCAAAAAAGGTGTAAAGCGAGGTGAAGGGGAGCGTATTGTTACAGCGGCATCGTGTTTATAACGAGAGGAACTCATAAAACTTCCAGGCAGTTGATTCTAAAATTATTTGATGATTGTTAAATATAAATTACGCATTTGTAAAATAGAAATTATACGTTTTTGTATAACTTTTATTGTTACAACTAATAATCATGCATGTGTAACTCGTGATTACTTTTAATAAACCTGTTTTATTGGTTTTGAACCTATATTTACAACATATAAATTTGTATAGAAATATCTCTTTTTTTATTGCTAAAAAAATAACAAACCAAAAAACAACAAACAAAACAATAACCATTATATATTGAAGTGTAAAAAAATAGAGAGCTTAATAAAACAAAAATTACAATTTTTTTGTTTGTTTATAAAGATGGTAATAATTATTCATAAAAATGTACTTAAAATTTATTAAATCTTTTGTGATTTCCTTAAGAAATCAAATTACAGGATAACGATATCACCAAGAAGTCTGGAAATAATACTCAGAACATTTTGATATTGACGGCGGAGGAAAAACTTTAACCACTTAAAAAAATAATGATAATAATAATAATAATAATAATAAAATTTTCCTATCACATTCTGAAAAACAACAGATAAACTAAAGCTAACATTTTAAAAAATCACAAAAACAAAATACTTTTTTAACCTGGTGTGACAACACGAAAGATAAACTGTTAAGCATACAATTAAAAACCATGTACGTTTATTTAGTTAACAAAGATATAGTTACAAAAGTACAAACATTTAATAAATATATATTTATTGACAAATCAATTTTGATACAAGAAATACAACTTAAAGTTAACAAACAATTACAATACAAAATACTAACCGCTTATTAATAATATAATTATTATATATATACATTATATAACCGTATAAATAAACTTAAGTTTTTTTTTTGAAATTTCTTTTCTGCAATAATTTTTAAAAGAAAAAATATAGCAATTTTGATCAACCAGTTAATCTGATCGTCAATTGAGATGCTTATCTCAGATTTATTATGTCACGTAATTTATTTTTGCGCTCAAAAGGGGAGGGGGATTTTTTAATTACACTCAATATGCTAATCAAATTCTCACGCTTATAAAAAAAACAAAAAAAAAACACAACAAATACGACAAATTCTTTAAAAAATCATTTGTGCGCTAACAGCCTCGTACGTTTAATGTCGAAAACAAAATGAAAAATTTACCCTTCAATATTTTCAGAAAATTCAATTTATGTACAATAATAAAAAAAAAACTATAAAACCATGTTAACCATTCTACTAGCGAGGATAACAAGTTAACTGGGAATAGTCATAAATAACAATTTTTTAACAGGTCAATTTTAAGAACTTTATCAATAGAATAATAAAACGCATTTGATCTAAAAAACTTTTCTCTTGAAAATTTTCGCGCGCATCTGTAAAAGTTAAGCGGCTATTATTTTGGTAAAAGACAACAAATAACTTTCGACATTCAATAAAAAAAAGATCAATATTGATTTACGAAAAAACGCGTTGATGTACAAAAAAGTAAATTATATCTTTTAAGCTTCGTAGTTACACGATATTATTGTTGTCATTACTGATTTGACTTACTTGACTTGTCATGACTTTAAAAAGAACAAACAGCAAAAATAGAAAATTCCATCTGTTTTTTTTAATATTTTTTGCTAAACTGCAAACTTAAGATAAAAATTTTTTTTTTGAAGCAAATCTAAAAAATTTAAGTACTAAAAAAAAGATTGTTAGGTTGCAATTTCCGTAAAGTTTGAAATAACGTTTGGAAACAATGAATAATATTCCGTTCATCTTTTGCTGTTTAAATTCAAATAGAAACAAGAACATTTAATGCGTAACACATGTGATAGCCACACTTGATTTATGGGATAATGTAGATGTGGACCATGCATAGTTATGACATTTATAATACATCAATGGCTTAAAAATTATAGCCTTATATAGCTACCAGCTAAAGTGTATAAATACCATAAGCACATATGGCCCATATTTAAGCCATTCCATAAATAGAGTGTGGCTAGCATTTGATAACACATGTGGTCCACGTCAAATTGCTTTATTGGACAACATTTACCCTCACAACGCAGTAAAGTTCAGCTAGAAGCTAATAAATTGTTATTAAACTCCCAAAAAAATATATATATTTTTTATTTCACTCTGACGAAAAGAAATGCATTATCATCAATTATATCAACTATTAGTATACAATTATTAAAAGAACCATTTTATTTTCTGAATGTGCTAATGAACGAGAATTTATCTTGGAGTTTTCACATTAATAAGAAAATAATAAAAAATCTTTTTATAACTATATCTATAATTTTCTTTATAAGACTTTTTTTTTTAAATTTGTAAAAATATTGAAGAAATTTAATTTTAACAAAATACTTTTTTACATTTGATTATGCAATATTGATGTTAATAAGATGCAAAAACTTCTATGTTTAACAAAAAAAAAAAAAAAATTTACCCATGCAATTATCAATTACAGTTGAATTAATTAAACATTTATCAATTCAACATATATCAAACCAACATATATCAAATCAACATTTATCAAACATTTATCAAATCAACATAAATCTAACAATATCATTTATGTTCAAACATAGAGTGGGTATTGCCTCAAATCAATTTTTTAACAACGCTTTTAAAACTAATACAAATAAATTTTACATTGGAATAGTTTAATAATACCATAAAAAAAAGCCCAATTCTATATAACATTTTGTGGTCCTTACTTGTATTACAAATTAATTCCAAAAAATAGAGGTGACCAGGGCTATTTGCCAAGCAAATATTAAATTGTTTAATAAGCCAAAACATTTTATTGAATGTCAAATAATCCTCAGTAAAAGATTTTGCAAAACATGAATTTTTTAAATATAATATATATACAAATTGAAAAAAATTGTTAACTTTAATAAACAAATTTTTTTTTAATTGAAAACACAAAAAGCCTCTTAAAAATATTGCCAACTAACCCCGAAAGTCTTTTTTTCAACAGAATAGCCGACAAATAGGGGCAATTTTACGTGCGTGTGTGAAGGAGAAGGAAGTCGATTTTTTTAGGAATATAGTCGAGTTAGTCGGCATTTGAAACATTTTAGTCGTCAGTTTTTTAGTTTTGTAAATTTCAAGTACCAACTTTTACCGAACATCAAAGTTTTAACTAGCATCAAGTAGTTGTTGACAAGAAATAGTTATCGTATTTACAAATGTTTTTTTTTTTTTTTTTATTCATTGTATATATTGATTAAGTTAACTAAAATAGTTACTAGAAAAAAGGTTAATTAAAAATTTTTGGGTATTAAAAATTAATTAATAATAAAGGTTAATAAAAAAATTTTTCACCTAAATTTATACATAAGGGCTAGGTCAAATGAGAATGTTTTAAAGAAATCGCGCTGATTAAAACCTGAGAACAAAAATATTCGCTATATCTACCCTGAATGTAAGAGGAATTAATAAAATATTTTCAGCATATTATACTAAACTTAAAGATTTTAAATTTCATTTAATAATCTTTTAACGGTTAATGATCATAACCATGTAAAATTTCCGACAACATCAAAATGATGAGTTGAAAATTTCCGACAACCTCAAAATGATGAGTTGAAAAATTCCGACAACCTCAAAATGATGAGTTGAAAATTTCCTACAACCTCAAAATGATGAGTTGAAAATTACACATTACATTCACCTACTTTACTGGTAATAGCTTTTTAAAAACAAAATTTCCTACTGTATTAACAGTATTTTAAATATACTAACACGGTAGTTATTTTATTTGCAATTGTATTAATATTAATTATTTTATCATAAATAACACTAAATAACTACCCAGTGGGCACGGAACGTAAAAAAGACGTTCAAAAGCCTTCTTTTTTAAGTCAGGGTTAGGGTTATTATTGTAACATAAGTTAAAACCATCTGGATCACATAAAAAGTGGTAGTAAGAGGTACATTTAGTATATGGTGTCCAATCATCAAAACGACACGGCATTTTATGAACACTGATTCATACAACTTTATGGATTGTATACATAGTGTTGTATAAGTGAAAAAAATTTCAGGGAGAAAAACAAAATCTCCGTTTTCATCTCTCTTTGTTTCTTAGACTTTTTTGCCGTTTTCAAGCTCAAACTTATTGATTTTATTTGTTTGATCATCTTGTTAAAAGATATTTTTTTCTTTTAACAAAATGACTTCATTTTGGTGTCACTTTTCTGTGTCAGGTCGTGATGGTGTCACCCAGTGTGGTACGCCTTCCCCTCCTCTAGTGACGCCATTGTAATATATATATATATATAAATATATATATATATATATATATATATATATATATATATATATATATACATATATATATATATATATATATATATATATATATACTATATATATATATATATATACATACATATATATATATATATATACATATATATATATATATATATATATATATATATATATATATATATATATATATATATATATATATATATATATATATATATATATATATATATATATATATATATATATATATATATATATATATATATATACAGTGCTCGAAGTGGAAAAATTATGGTATTCGGTAAATTAAAAATACCATCCCGCCTAATCATTGTTATATAGAGAGATTTATAAAAAGATGGCGGGATGGTTTTTACTTAATAAAAAGGTGACGGGATGGCACTTCCATGTATATATATATATATATATATATATATATATATATATATATATATATATATATATATATATATATATATATATATATATATATATATATATATATATAGGGCCGGCCCGAAAATTCTAGCGCCCCGGGCACGGATTCAAATTGCGCCCTTGATGAATTATACATTTTTATAAATTATAAATCATTTATTTATTAAATTAAAAGGAACCAATTTAAACTTTATACAATACTAAAAATTAATTTTTCTAGCCTTTAAATCAGAAGTTTTTAATTATTTCGGTTATGTCTATTGTGTTGCTATTTCATTTTCGATGTACAAAATAGCTAAGTTATTCAATCGTTCGTCACTCATAGTAAATAGTAAAAAAAAATTATTAGCTTCAATATTCTAAATCTTCATATCACCACTTGAAGCAGTAATTGGTATGGTAAGCATTATTCTTAATGAAATCCAAATATTTGGAACCACATTTTGCAATCTACTGGATTTTATAAAGTTCAAGATATTTAGAGGACGTCCAAAAATATCTTTAGGCAAAGGGGTGGATGCCGATTTTAATTCGTCAAATAATTCTGCACCATTATTTTCAAATTTCAAATGCAGATCTTTGCAAAACTTAAGTAAGTCATTGTCCGCAGGTAATTTCTTCAGATTACATAATATTCCATAAGTTTAGTGAAATTCATTCAGTTGTTGAAATCTTTCTTGAAGAGATGCTATAGCATTATCTAAAATAACATTAGACGTTGCTCTTAAAATTTTTTTTTAGACTTAGTACAATCTCATCTCTACCCTCATAAAAAAACATTTGTTTTTTACGGCGTAACCTTTTTTTAATAAAAATCGGTTCAGCTTTCGAAGATTTAGCCAGCCCTTAGAGAACTTTCAAAACCAGTTATCCTTTATTCTGTCACAAATTCTGTACAATATTTAATAAGTGAAACTACTGAGGCTATATCTGTGGCTGCAGATTGCATAGATTTGCTAACAATATTTACACGGTATAAAATATTGTACCAGGTAACAAGCGTTACCAAAAAATAAAAAGTGCTTATCTGTTCAGATTATGTATAAGCTTCGTGTTTAATGGAAATATCAAAAGAGTCTGTTTCACTCAAAACTTACTTAAGCATCGTAAGTTTCCACATTTGGTACCGTATTGGTTTTAAACATTCAATTTGAAATTAACAAGAAATTAACTCGTTTTAAATTGTTTTTCCGCAATAGTTACATGAGATTCTTTAGAAGAAAGTTTAAAGTTGCGTCATATTTGCTCAACAGTTCCACTAAACCCAAAAAATTTCCATTTTTAGAAGTAAATAATTTGTCTGAAGAACCACGAAAAGGTAAGTTATTTATCGATAGGTACAAAATTATGTTGCATATGCGATCGCATATTCAACATAATTTAGATTGATCTAACACAAAGCGCCAGAGATCTCTTTCTCTAATAATTAAAGATTGCCAATATTCATCAATAGTTTTATTTGTTTTAAGCCTACGACTAGCTTCAAACCAGTTACCAAAACACTTAAATTGTTTCGATGAATTTTCATGCGATTTTATATATTCAGTAATGTGTTTTCAGTTATTGATTTCAACAGTGGCTAATGATGATTTTGTTTTATCTCAATAATAAAGTTTACAACAAATACAAAACACTTTATCAGAACTTTATTATTAACTTTATTATTATTATTAACTTTATTATTAACTTTATTAACTATTTTATATATCACTTTATCAGATTTACCGTTATTCAATTTTCTGCACATTAATGATTTCGAAAAACAACCATTGTTATAATCTCACGGAAATTCAGTAACATTTGTTAGGTGAGATGCTACATCACTTCCTCCATTAATTATGTGATCAGAAATTTTAGAATTAAGGGGAACTGGTCATAGAATAGGATCATTTATATGTCACCAGTATGGTATATATATTATATGAATTATATTATATATTATATGAATGTCACCAGTAGTGGTAGAACTAGGAGATTGAGATATTGTTTCGAGTTGTCTACTTTCTTCAGGCATTTCTTCTATTTTCTTGTCTAAAAAAGAATTACTACCAACTAAAGACACAGGGCAACCAATTTCTTCACTTTGCTTGGACTCTTTACTTGAAAATATTTTGTAAAAAACTTTGCAGACTTTTTATTTTCTCGTTTAAATTCAAATTGTCTTTTCGGTTTGCTGCACCCGATGGTTTATTTGCAGACATGATGGACTCTTAAACTATTCAATTTAATACGAAAATAGGTTGTGCATAAATTTTTATTAAGCG